TATCTCTTGCATCATATCATCAACTATATTATGCTCTATTTTGATATAGGATAAGATTGGTCTATGAGATCAAGGTAGAAGCTGTATGCCAGTAAAAAGTTGGCCCAAGTCAGGGCCTAGTGGTGATAAAGCTGTCCATCAGTATCATCGATAAGTAGCATACTGCTGTCGATCGAGGTAGTCCAATACACTAATCGTATAAAGGTATTTGTATGGAGATGGATATATCATATGACAGTGAACGAGTTCAGTTCTGCAGTCTACATGTTATTTTCGCTTGAAAAAAATGTGAGGAGTAAGAAAGTTGATTGAACGACAGTTAATATCATGGTCATAAGAAAAGTGAAGATAGTGTAATCCTAACACAGCAGCAATCCTATGTTATTGGACTACCAATAGTGGATTGCAACTAACGATCAGAGCAGAGAACGAGTTCAGTTCTGCAGTCTACATGTTAATTTCGCCTGAAAAAAAATGTGAGGAGTACGAAAGCTGATTGAACTACAGTTAATATCATGGTCATAAGAAAAGTGAAGATAGTGTAATCCTAACACAGCAGCAATCCTATTTTATTGGACTACCAATAGTGGATTGCAACCAACGATCGACTAAGATATTCGCGTACTAGCGGTGTAGTACTCAGTCGTAGTCATTACTATAATACAAGACCTGCTAACATGCTTTCGATTCAATACAAAAATATAGCCTGTCATTAAGCACAACTATCAAGGCGATAACATTGAGTTATTAGACAAATCAATCTATTCCTATATTAACTACATCTACACAGATAGAAAATAAAGATATTGGCAATATTCATGTTGTAAAATGAGTAAGTTGTTGTTCCAAATGAAGACTGCGGGACAAGGCAGCTCATTGGAACAACAGTAGGACAATGTGCATAAAGGAAAAGAGGTCGATTAATGATTGCTATTCAATCCTTGCTCAAGAATTGGCAATCATCACACCATCTATCATTCAATCAACATATCATCATTCCCAAAATAGTGTAATACGATAGTATTGACGCTAAAATTATCGAGAAATTTTACCTGAACGCCATTAGGTTGCTTAATTGCCATCATCAAGCTACATAACAAGAGACATTAGGCTCGTAATCATGAGCGTAGAGGGTAGCTAATGTATAAGGNGAAAACTTTTGATTGCGTACGCTACAGTATGGAGAAAAAAAAGACAGCCAGCCAGTGGCAGTAGCAGAGGTTGCGCAGTCGCAGTGGAAATAGACTAATTTCCAAGTTTCAATGACTGTCGTATTCAATTCTCATACTGTCCACTACTAAGCTACTCAGTCATGTATTAGCAACCAAACAACAGACTAGACTAGGATAAAAGGAAACGAGAGCTTGCAAATGTAGATGAATGCTTGAATACCCCATAGTTGAGCGTCTCATTATTACTAGTTAGAGTGGTGCGCGGTCAATTAAACGCTACAGTGCTGTAGCCTGTAGTACTACAGTACTGTACACTGTGTACAGGTATGAGCCACTTTTCTTTCTTCAAGGTGCTATTCGCCAATATAAATTGTAGTAAAGCTGCACAATTTGAGGAAAATTATATATATATATATATACAGATAGATACTAACGTAACTGTTCCAGATCTTACTGTAATCAGAAATTCAGTACTGTCTGTACTGCTGTCTTTATTATTGTACTTTTTGAGCGTCTCGTTATTATTAGTTAGAGTGGTGCGCGGTCAATTACGTTACAGTGCCGTAGCCTGTAGTACTACAGTACTGTACACTGTGTACAGGTATGAGCCACTTTTCTTTCTTCAAGGTGCTATTCGCCAATATAAATTGTAGTAAAGCTGCACAATTTGCCGAAAATTATACATATATATATATATACAGATAGATACTAACGTAACTGTTCCAGATCTTACTGTAATCAGAAATTCAGTACTGTCTATACTGCTGTCTTTATTATTGTACTTTTTGAGCGTCTCGTTATTATTAGTTAGAGTGGTGCGCGGTCAATTACGTTACAGTGCCGTAGCCTGTAGTACTACAGTACAGTACAGTACTGTACACTGTGTACAGGTATGAGCCACTTTTCTTTCTTCAAGGTGCTATTCGCCAATATAAATTGTAGTAAAGCTGCACAATTTGAGGAAAATTATATATATATATATGTTTATATATATATACAGATAGATACTAACGTAACTGTTCAAGATCTTACTGCAACCAGAAATTCAGTACTGTCGGTACTGCTGTCTTTATTATTGTACTTAAACAGCTATAACTGACTGACGGTAGAAAAATCGGAAAAATCGACAAAAAAAAGGTGCGCACCATTCTACGGAACGGAATCACCAATTAAAAAAAAGGCAAATCAGATTTATCTTTCAGTACAACTCGCGTAGGGTACAGTGTCTGTGCTCTATCATGGACTATTGTACTAAATACTTACAAGTATTGGGGGTCTAGGACAATTGACCGCTGTACAATGTAGTAATGTAGTCTAGGATAGAAACAGTATCAATATAGATTTGATATTGTGAGGATGAATTGAATACTTTGCAGCGTTCAATCCTTGACACTGTAAAATTAATTGAATGCAGTAAAGTATCTGTTTCGATATTACCAGGGTAGATTAAATACTTTACAGCATTCAATCCTATACAGCGTCAAATTAATTTAATTTAATACGGTAAATTGTCTGCAGTAAATTATTCGGGTTTCGTCCATGACGATGTTAGTCTCCGAGCTGCAACCTTGGTGATACAGTGTATTGTACAGTATGTACTGTACACTGTACACTGTACAGTACACATTCTTCTCGGTAGTGACTTTTTACGGAACTGTGTATTGAAGTATAGTACGCATGCACAATGTTTCAATGCATGATCGCCATGACAACCATTTCGTTTGTATACTACTGTGTACGACTACCGATAAGCTGACTTTAAAATTCTAGTCATTTCTCAAGAATATTTTAACTACAGTAACGCTTAAGCTGCAGCAAATTCCTGATTAACGGTTACATTGCCCCCATCGTAACGTAGACACTTATTTCTTGTAATTAATATACAATTATATATCTGTAAACCATGTCTGACATATCCGAAGAATATGAAGAGGAAGATCAAGGCCCAAATTTGGGGGTAAGAA